GGATAGGTGCCATCACTGCTTTCATTAAATTTCCAGAGCATTTTGTGTTGGGCTGGTTTATCTTGAGTCATATTTTAATTTTTGTTTAAACGAAATATGAATACCTATGTTATCTGCCTTCCCCAACAGACCCTCTGTACATTGGCTTCAAGATGGGAATCAGGAAAGCTGTTTTACTATCAGAATAATGATTTGGGGGTTGGTGTGAAATGCTTAAATGATTAGCGCCCATCTGATTACATCTGTGCTTGTATACGTCCAAGGCATAATCTTGAAACAGAATAAATAGATTAGATCTCTTATTTTCTCTTTGTTGTACTCCTGAAAGTTTTGATATAAAGTACGTTTTAATCAACTGATCGATTATTCAATAGAATATTTCTTATCTCTATAAACGTTAATGTGTACTCGTATTAGGTGATTTATAAAGATCGACATAAAAGTGGTTTCCTGATTGAGGAAGGGAATATAGGTTCGATTCCTGGGTCGAGCTATATTTTATTTTCAACCTCCAGACAAGTTGACATTAACTTCAAAGATTTAAAAAGTGTTTACTCAACTACGCGTAACCACTAAACATAAGGTTTATAATATATATAAAATGAATATAAATAAAAAAATTTGTCACTTAGCTAACTGATGTTATCTTCACCATCCCCACTCAATTCGTAGACGGGCCCTTATATATATATATATATATATATATATATATATATATATATATATATTAATTATTTATTTAAATATGATTCCAACACGCTACAAAAAGAGTTCTCATGTTTCAAAACAAAGCCGAAAAAACTCAATATGTAGCGTGTTGAATCATAATAATAACTATATTTATGCTCTTTTTTTGTATCGAGCACTATTTTTAAAATAATAACAAAAAATAAAAGAACTTTTGGATTATTTACTGTTGTGTATGATACACCTATATTTACATAAGCGGACTATCGACCATATAAATATTTTTAAAATAAAGACAAAAGATATAATTAAGAAATTGAATCCAGAGACTCTGCCCGACTGCGATTTAGTTCCCATTATGCAGGAACAGTCTTCCCAAGAATATACCAAACTAACTGTAAATATTGTGTACCTATTCACACACAATACATTTTGTTAACGTACATTTTGTGTTGTATTATTCCATGCTATTTAAGCTTTCAACATTTACCTAACGAGTTCTTTTTCCTATTTTCTATACACACACACATATATATATATATATATATATATATATATATATATATATATATATATATATATATATATATATTGTGTGTGTGTGTGTGATAATATAAGGGATAGCGATTCGGAATTAAATTGGAGAGCTGTAGTAGAATTCCAGTCAAATTCAGTACATACATTTAGATGCAAATGACAGTCTTATCCCTCTCAACTAACGCTAAATAGCAGAACAGAATGGTCCTTGTTGGCTACTACCCTAGGAGACGGAAAATTCTAAATTCAAACCAGACTGATAAGGTTTGGGCTCCGTCAAGCTATCTTTCTAAAGTCACACTAGTGCTGTTACGACAGCAGAACATATGGTGCCCCTACGACTGTAAAAGGTTATTGGACTCGCGATCGTGATATAAAAATATATAGTAGTATATATATATATATATATATATATATATATATATATATATATATTAAAAAGGCTTAAACACTGATATTCGATGGTCATAATTTATTCCATTGGAATCGTAAATACGATACAATTCATCAGACCTACAAATTCAAAAGAAAACAGGAAAAACAACTCCGGAAATAAAAACAGAATTTAGAGAGAGTGTAAGTATGAGGGTGTGGGACGAATGTTAGAGCTAATAAGAGGGGTAACAGACGAGAGAAGGTGGGAGATTAAAACTTAACAGAGAGGATTTTAGGAGAGGTGAGTGGAAGGGGTTTAAGTAAGAGAAATATGAATGTTGTCGGATGTCTAATGCATAAAGATACATATATATATATATATATATATATATAGAGAGAGAGAGAGAGAGAGAGAGAGAGAGAGACAGTAGAAAGAGAGAGGGTGAGAGGGAGAGAGAAGTAGAAAGAGAGAGGGTGAGAGAGAGGTAGAAAGAGAGCGTGAGAGGTAGAGAGAGGTAGATATAAAGAGGGTGAGAGGAAGACACAGAGAAAGGTAGAAAGAGAGAGGGTGAGAGGAAGGGATAGAGAGGTAGAAAGAGAGAGGGTGAGAGGAAGACAGAGAGAAAGGTAGAAAGAGAGAGGAAGAGATAGAGAGGTAGAAAGAGAGAGGCTGAGAGGAAGAGAGATAGAGAGGTAGAAAGAGAGAGGGTGAGAGGAAGAGAGAGAGGTAGAAAGAGAGAGGGTGAGAGGAAGAGAGAGAGATGTAGAAAGAGAGAGGAAGAGAGAGGTAGAAAGAGAGAGGGTGAGAGGAAGTGAGAGAGAGAGAGAGGTAGAAAGAGAGAGGGTGAAAGAGAGTGAGGTATTTTGGTGTATGAAGGAGCGAGTGGTGACAGATAAAATTCTTATAGTAAATGAGTATTTTGTAACAAATGAATGGGTCCTGAATTCGATTAGCTAGGTATAAGATAGAGATTTCTAACCTTGAACAGTCTCCCCACTTATTTTGCCCTGGTGATATAATTTATTTTTCTTTCAATGTGGCGTATCCTTTCAGGACACAGGCGATCATAGCTCTCCACTTTCCCCTATCCATTTTAGCTCTGAATAAGTTTTCATGCTTCTGCCAACTCCCCCAGGGTACGTTCTGTCATCCACTTGCTTAAGCCTGCCAGGTATATCATGCGTTACCCTTGTCTCTTTTTACGTCTATTTAACCTGTGAGTATCAGATTCTCCAGTCCCTCTTTTCTCATTACGTGTCCCAGAAATTCCATCTGCCTCTTCCTTATGTTAAGTATAAGCTTCCTCCTTGTTTGCACCCTCTGCAAGACATCATCGTTGCTCACACGATCTCTCCATGATATCCTAAGCATCTTCTTAAAACCACATCTCTTTCGCTTCGAGTCTCTTCTTCATCTTTGAGGAGACCGTCCAACATTCGGTGCCGTATAGGAGGACAGATGTCACGTAGCAGCTCAGTACTCATTTCTTTGTCACCAAAGAAATCCTCCTCACAGTACTGTACCCAGCTTTTGGAATGCTTCCTTGGCCATCCCAATCCGTCTTCGGATCTCAGCGTCGCACCTACCGTCCTCCGTCAAGACATTTCCCAGATAATTAAACTTCCGCATAGGCTTGATTTTAGTGTCCCCGACCTGCTACAAAACACACAATGGTGATACAATTACTGTATCAGTAATAAACCTTAGAGAAAGATAGATATAGATATTTGTGTATTTCTGTGTCTTTTTGTGTTGGGGGGTGTTCAATTTCTTGAACGTACATCATCCTGATAAATCATGGAGAAGAGAGGGTTGTCGACTTAAACACATGAGAACGCCGTGATTGAATTCTGTGGTTATACACAAGAATAACATGGACAGAGCATATGAGCAACAAGGAAGTTTTAAAAGAAAATAGAAAGGAAAACACCAGATCTTTGGCAAACATAATAAGGCGGAGAGAATACGACTGTAGCAGGATAGACTGAACATAAGATACCCTACCTTACTTGCATAAATATATGAGTGAACAGGAAATGAGAAACAACAACGTTTAGAAAGTTCTGAAGAACCATTATCGCCCACGTTCTAATGTCGAGAAAATCTCAAACTCCCCCCGCCCCCCCAAAAACTAGAGACAGTTCAGGACAAGAAAAAGAAGCAAAATCACTTACCTTAAGTTGTGAAATAAGATTTCTATGTTTAATGTCACTGTCTAATAACTTGCATAAAGTGAATGTAAACAATGGAGGGCGGGGGAATAAAAAAATCAAAAACATTTTCCCTCCCTAATGAATACTTCAGGGATCACGTGGTAATAAAGTCACGTAAGACCTGTAACTATAAAAAGTAACAACATTTAGTTAATAATAAATCAAACAACCCAAGGTAGGGATTTTCCAAGCGTAGCACAACGGGCTTAAAAGTAGGGGTCACCTGGTGAGGATCGCACTCACTACTCGGTGGTAATTGTTCTAACGCGACAAGCTTGCTAACCATTACACCATCTCGAGGTGCCCAGTATAATGATTTTCCAAGCGTGGCACAAGGCCGAAAGCAGGGGGCATCCATTGAGGATCAAACGAACTACTAAGTCATAATTGTTCTAGCGAGACAAGCTTGCTAACCATTACACTGACTCGAAGTACCCAGGCAACCTAATGTGAAATCTATTGCTTTTCTTCCGTCTGAATAGTCAAATTCTACCCACTTAAGGGAAATGGTACATAAAAGTGCTAATATCTTTTCAGCCTCTGATTTCGAAACCGCTATTATTGCCAAGTAAGCCTAAAGTTTTGATTTTTTTGTAAGTAATAACTTTTTTTCTGGCGTGGGGAGCCAAAATATGCAGACACAATAATCATGAAGTCATTTTTTTAGATTTAAAAACCTTTCGTTTTTCATGTCTGGATTTTTTTATGATTTAACGAATAAAGACAGAGAAAACAATAGCCTATTTATTATGCGTCTTTCTATTACAAACAGTGACCGTTGTCTGAATACATACGAAAGCTTGTATAAAGATATTTAAACCCTTATCTTCCGGAGGTCAAGTGTCAATTATATTTTGTCTATTACGCTTCTCTTGCCGCAGGGCAAAACAAACAAGGAGTTTTCTGCTCTTTCTTTCGTCTTAGCTCTGAAGCCTAAAAATTAATATAATTTTTTCTTTCCTTTTCTTCTTCTATATATTTCTGTCTCTTTTCTCTTTTCTTTTTCTTTCTCGTTAATACTCTCTCTCTCTCTTTCTCTATTTTTCTCACCTCCGTTCCCTTGCTTTTACAGGCTGTGCAGTAAAATTATAAACAAAAAAATAATAATAATCAATAGAAAAATCACTTTGTTTTAAACAGAAAAGGAACATATATTCTAGTTAGAAAAACCAGAAAATGGTTTATTCGATAAATCCGTTCTCATCCCCGGAGATAGCCTTCATGCAAACGAGAAAATAACCGGACCAGGCGCTTATTCTTCGTCGTGGTGACGACCTTCAGTGAATCCTTAGAGTCCTTGAGCCTCTATTTAGTCTTCCTCTTAACGACGCCTCTGGAGAGATATGTGTTCACATTTTGGTCGTGGCATGATTCTGGGATTTCTCCGGAAGCCTTTCGGCATGGGTGAGAGAGCAGAGACATGCTGGAAAACGTACTACTAGCTAGGCATTCTAGAGATTGACCACTGCATCTAGAACTCGATAGAGGCTATGACACTGGTCCTGAGGCGGGATGAAATTACATTTGTAGTTAACAACAGTCTCTTTCTGATTCTAAATCAGTCTGAAGTCGTTACTTCATCTGTAAATCGCTCGTCCGGCATCTACTATCATATCGGTGATTAAACATCACCTAACTGTTCACGCATTCATTTTTTGCTGATGACGACTTTCTATGTCTTAATAATTTGCCTATTTTCAGGAAGAGGTCATTCGTTATTCTGATATCTGTTTAGATTCCACACATGTTCTGTTAACTTCCCAAAAAAACCTTGTAGCAGGCCGCAACATCAGAAAAAAGGCTTGTAGTAGACGGCGACGTCACTAAAAGCTTTTTAGTAGGCGGCAAATTCAGAAAAGACATAGTAGTAGTCGACAACTTCAGAAAAAGTCTCGGAGTAGGGAGAAATGTCACTAAAAGCCTTGGAGTAGGCAGCAACGACACTAAAAGCCTTGATGTAGGGGGCAACATCACTAAAATTCTTGTAATAGACGGCAACGTCACTAAAATCCTTGAAATAGGCGGCATCATCATTAAAAGGCTTGGAGTAGGCGGCAACGTCACTAAAAGCTTTACAGTAAGCGGCAACTTGAGAAAAAACTTTGTAGTAGGAGGCAACATCTCTAAAAGACTTGTGGTAGGCGGCAACGTCATTAAAAGCCGTGGAGTAAGAGGCAATAACACTAAAAGCATCTGAGAAGGCGGCAACGTCACTAAAACCTTTTTAGTAAGCGGCAACACGAGAAAGAGCCTTGGAGAAGGCGGCAACGCCAATAAAAGCTTTGTAGGAGGCGGCAACTTCAAAAAAATCTTGTAGTAGGGGAAAACGTCACTAAAAGGTTTGCAGTAGGTGGCAACGTCACAAAAGTCTTGTAGTAGGTGGCAACGTCACAAAAGTCATGTAGTAGGCGGCAACATCACAAAAGTCATGTAGTAGGCGGCAACGTCACAAAAAGTCATGTAGTAGGCGGCAACGTCACAAAAGTCATGTAGTAAGCGGCAACGTCAAAAAGTCATGTAGTAGGTGACAAAAAGTCATGTAGTAAACGTCACAAAAGTCATGTAGTAGGCGGCAACATCACAAAAGTCATGTAGTAGGTGACAACATCACAAAAGTCATGTAGTAGGCGGCAACGTCACAAAAGTCATGTAGTAGGCGGCAACATCACAAAAGTCATGTAGTAGGCGGCAACGTCACAAAAGTCATGTAGTAGGCGGCAACGTCACAAAAGTCATGTAGTAGGCGGCAACGTCACAAAAGTCATGTAGTAGGCGGCAACGTCACAAAAGTCATGTAGTAGGTGACAACATCACAAAAGTCATGTAGTAGGCGGCAACGTCACAAAAGTCATGTAGTAGGCGGCAACGTCACAAAAGTCATGTAGTAGGTGACAACATCACAAAAGTCAAGTAGGCGGCAACGTCACAAAAGTCTTGTAGTAGGCAGCAACATCACAAAAGTCATGTAGTAGGCGGCAACATCACAAAAGTCATGTAGTAGGCGGCAAGGTCACAAAAGTCATGTAGTAGGTGGCAACGTCACAAAAGTCATGTAGTAGGTGGCAACGTCACAAAAGTCATGTAGTAGGCGGCAACGTCACAAAAGTCATGTAGTAGGCGGCAACATCAAAAAGTCATGTAGTAGGCGGCAACATCACAAAAGTCATGTAGTAGGCGGCAAGGTCACAAAAAGTCAGTAGGTGGCAACGTCACAAAAGTCTGGCAACGTCACAAAAGTCATGTAGTAGGCGGCAACATCACAAAAGTCTTGTAGTAGGCGGCAACATCACAAAAAGTCATGTAGTAGGCGGCAACGTCACAAAAGTCATGTAGTAGGTGGCAACATCACAAAAGTCTTGTAGTAGGCGGCAACATCACAAAAAGTCTTGTAGTAGGCGGCAACATCACAAAAAAGTCATGTAGTAGGCGGCAACGTCACAAAAGTCATGTAGTAGGTGGCAACGTCACAAAAGTCATGTAGTAGGCGGCAACATCACAAAAGTCTTGTAGTAGGCGGCAACATCACAAAAGTCATGTAGTAGGCGGCAACATCACAAAAGTCATGTAGTAGGCGGCAACGTCACAAAAGTCATGTAGTAGGTGGCAACGTCACAAAAGTCATGTAGTAGGAGACAACATCACAAAAGTCTTGTAGTAGGTGGCAACGTCACAAAAGTCTTGTAGTAG